TCCTTAATCTGGAATTCATTAAATGAATGTCATGAAATTTAGCCTCTGTTCTGCAAAATATTTTTGCTTACTGTTTCCTTCTGGAATTGAAAATGAAAGGAGCTTAAATAGATATGTCTGTAAAGCAGAAAAGGGCCAGGAAAAAGGCATCCTGGAAGCTCAACCACAAGGCTTCTCCACACTGTTTCCCAGGTACCCATGGTGATTTGCTGAAGACAGTCAAGAGCATGCAGCAAGGACAAGCCACGCACAGCCTCACAGGTGAATTTAAAGCTCTGAAGCATGGGCAACTGGTGTCATCTGAGTCTGTGGGGCCACCAGCGCGGTCGATCGTCAACCCCGAAAGAGCCAGCAGCAAAACTAGAAGTGCTGCTGCTGCTTCTCTCAGCGCACCGACCAATCTCTGGGGGTGGGGGGGTTGTACCAATTTCAGGGGGGGCACCGACCGGTGCTTCTCTTGGTGCCCCCACTCCCTGGCCAGCAAGGGCCAAAGTGCCCCACCCCATGCCCTCACTACATGTCACCTATGCTTTGAAGAATGTCAGTAGACTCAGGTAAGTAGGGCATGTGTAGGGTGTGCTCAGTCCTATCTCTCCAGAGATTCATAAGATAGACCATCCCCCAGAGCAGTGATTCTCAACCTTTTTAAAGGCACCCCTTGATAGACCTAAGGCATGCCTTAGAAAGTGCCAGCTCTTAATTTTCATTCATTTTTTTTGAGAACTAGAGAAAAATAATACAGCAATTCCTCTGCTGCAAAGAACTTGGACCATAACAGGTCAGAATGTTATTAACACAATAGATTCCTATTTGAAATCTCTGCGTTTATCTTGCGAGTAACATCTGCACACCTAACAGTGCTAACATTGGTCATGTACATACATTCATCTTCTCCTGGGAGAGTTTCTGCTTCCCCCAGGAGAAAGCATAAGTGTACAAATATTCAGGATTTCTCCCTCAGAGCAAAAAAGCCTGCTGCAAGAAAAAAATAACCTTGGAATAAGGGTTAAATCACTCCCAGGAGAATTTCTCTTGGGAGAGTAAATGTCTGTACATATTCTCTTCTGAGAAGCCACAGCACAGTCCTTCAGCATCCCACAGTGCTTTGATCCCTGCCCTCCCCCGCCAACCCAAGGAGAGAGAGTGTTGCTCACTGGCCTCTGCTGCTCCAACCAAACAGAAAATAGAAGACAGCCCTTCCCAATCCCATACTATGCTGCAGGGATATGCAGGCTGCCCCTCAGCAGATTGGCTAGTCCAGACAAGGCTGCCATGTCCACTGCCACTATTTGTCTCCAGGCAGACAGAGTCAGCAGAGCATGCTGAAATGTGTGCATAGGGACCCTCTTGCTTTGCAGCTTCAACACTGCAAGCTCTCTACTCTTTGCTCAGCATTTAAATGTCTATTCATATGTTTCCAGGTAATATTTTCTACCAGCAAAACAAACCTAGGACAATTCTTCCAAATCATCTGAGTGTATATATGCACCCACTGTGTGGAATCCCAAGGCATACTTAAAAGAATCTCAGAACACCTTAGGGCACATGGCACCCTGGCTGACAAACACTGCCTTTCACTCAAAAGGTTTTTAGTCATTTTTGTCCTGACAACATTGAGTAGATTAAAATAAGCAGATATTGTTTGTGATAACAAGAACTGCTAGACCCTGGGACATTGCTTTGATTTAGGAAGATCTGGTTTTTGACAAAAATGCAACTAAATAAGGGCCAAACTCATGAGGTGTCTTAATTCTAACATCATGTTAATACCAAACTTACTTTTGTCTAATTCTCTGCCAAACTTAAAAAAAAAAAAAACAGAGCTAGTTTTGTACTCCAGCAGCTGGAGAAACTAAGAGAGATCCATGGTATTTTAATAAAAATTGCTACATTTTCAAAAATTTAACCTGGTAATGCTAAATAAGGAAAACAAAGAATCTCTACTCTTTTAATAAGGTAAAGGCTAGGATTTTCAGATATAGAAATCTCTCCCCAACACACAGTTTTTAATCACTTTAGAGGGAAAATAGCTTCAGGAAGAAAACAACAACAAAATGAACAAACAAAATTTGCTGTAATCTGGCCACAATGAAAGTATTAAACAGAAAAATATGTGGCTCCAAGGCAAATTCTAGCTATGAAACAAAATGACTCTATAAAGCGTTGCAACAGTTCTGAAATCTGAATCTAAACACAAGCAGCTTGTTAAAACCAAGTAAGGCTAATCCTGTTATAGGCCCTCATGGACAGTTCAAACATTAAAAGGTAAAATCCTGCCCCACTGATGTCAATGGGCTGGTATTTCACCCTCCATCTGTTAATAATTAAAATCTATTTGTTTCCCAATGGTTAAGGCAAAAGATGAAAAGCACCAACCATTCTGTATTTTCTGCCTCTTTCCCCATTTATAAATCTAACTATATGAAAAAATGTGACAAAGCAAATAGATTTGCTAACATCCATTTTTGTTTACATTAATTTACTGCAGATAAAGCATATGCAAGAAATAACCTCTCTCTTGGGTTGGGTTTATACTTTTAAATGCAGTTTAAATAGGTAAACGAATAAGGGAGTGTATATTATTGATAATCCACAGATCATTTAACTTTGTTAAAAATACCAGTTTAAAATAGCCATTTTACTTAATAGTTTATCAAGTTTGAAATGTACAGTGGATTATTCCATGTTGAAAAGAACCCTCAACTCACTCTATCAATACAATCTATCATGTACATTACTGTAGCTCTAACCTTCAAAAGAATGTATAATAAAACAACAACATGTAAAAATTGGATCCGAAAAGAACTTAATAATCAAGTCCTGGAAATGTTAAACATAATCTGTTATAATTAGCTCTGTAAATTCTCTACAATTAGTGATATATGTCAACTAATACTGTACATGTTTAATGATTCTTTTGTAAAAAGAAGTCCATCCAACAAGAAAAATAAAATCATTACCTAAACTCACCCTCAAGTACAGTACTGTGAATATATAGCTATATAATGTAAAATTTTATTTAATTATACCAAATTAGTTTAATACTTGATATAACCATTTTACCAGTGATACCAAGTATATATGTACAAATTGGTTACTTTTTTAAAATACTTTTTTCTCCTATAAACATTTTTTTAACAACCTTTAATTGGACTTAGGCAATTATCATTCATTTAAAAAGCTTTTGTCTAATGTATTATTCAGTTGACCTTATGTGCACAAAATTGAGTTTTTTCATAAAAATTGCTCTATCATATCTATACAATATTCATTAAATGGTAAATTCATTGTAGTAAATAGCTTTAACATTACTGAACATTAAACATAGCTTTATTCAAATTAGAGCTGGAGAACATATTTTATTTTGTGGGAATATCTGCAAATTTGAGTATTTTTCTATTCTGCAATTGAAAAAAAAAGTCAACATTTTCTAGAAGTGAAACAACAATATCATTTATTGAACTACATTTTTCTACCAATATTCTTTTGAAACACAACAGAAGCACATTCTCTAATCAGGAAAGTAATTCAGTGGGAAGTCTCCAATCAGCTTTACTTGTATTATCACACATCTACCTTTCCTTATGTTTGACACATTTCTGAGTTAAATTTGCTATTATTAACAGTCTATATTACAATTGTGCCTAGCAGCCCACATAATAGATCAAGACCCCATTCTATTACGCACTGCACAAATACACATAAAGGGAGTCTCTGCCCGAAAAGTTTACAATTTAATATAAAGTGTTGATATCAAGTGCTGATCCAAACTAGTTAAGTCTGTGGCATGGATTTCTAACGATTCCAATGGCACTGAACCAGGCCTGTAATTTACAGTTGTCTAACTGAACCATGAAGCTGAGGTGGCAAGCTCATGGCATGTCTGCACACCAATCAGTAGTCACCCATCACTGAGTTTCATAATATACGGTGCACGGTACACTCTTCTTGATTTTTTTCAAAAGTAACAAAGGGTGCTCAGCATTCGTTGCTCTTCACTCCAATAAAACACATTTACTAAAGTTTCCAGATTTCCATTTTATGCATTCTACGTGTCACAGTACACGTATGCAAAGAGGAAATTGAATTTGTTTTTCATTCTGCTCTGCAAAGGTGTGTCTTTATACCTACTTACTTATGATATTTTCTTTTAAATGTTGAAAATATACAGAAAGAAATTAAATGCAAGGAACCAACTTAAATTTAACAATGTATAGCCATCCTACAACTCAGTGATTCAGTTGTATTTTGTCTTAATAGAAGCTTACAGCTTCCATACTCTGCATGCCCAATCTAGCTCACAGGGCTATGACCTGCAGAGCTTTCCAGGGGAGCTATGGGAAGCCACATGGGCTGGATTACGTGGCACTGGAGGCCAAATCCAGCCAGGCATTGAGAACCCCTGCTTTATACTAAACATCATGGTACTATGACACTTGAATTTCTCACAGTTTGCTTGTGTTTGGGTTTTGTTTCTTTTCCAGTCTGAAGTGTTCCAAACTGAAAAAGTTATCCTAAGTAAGTAGCAGTGCCATGATATCAGCAGCCTAAAACTGGTTGAACATTATTATTCTAAGCATGCCAATGTGGAAAAGTTTATAATTTCTTTTTAGTTTTTATTAAGAAAGACATCTTCATTTGTACAGGAAATACAATTTATAGTCAAGTAACCACAGTATTCCTCAAGGTGGTATTATACAAGCACTAGACACAAATGCTGTATGACAAGTCTGACATTACCACTGTTTGTGTTCAGACACGAGTAAACATTTACTTTCCAATAATACCCTTAATATTAACATGACACATTCAGTCTGGTTTTGATGAATCTGTGTTGGATCTGCTAGACATGACCACCCAATCTCAGTTTATATTTAATAACGTGTTGTACTTAATGCAACACACTCAACAATTTTAAATTCCGGCTGCACATCTGAAAAACAACTTCATTTACCTTTAATAATAGTTGTATAATTTCTTTTTAGCTATAAAGAGCTTACCTCAAAAATTTCAAAGCCATAGATGTCCAACACTCCCATGACCTTTTTTCTTACTTTTGTCTGAGCCTTTAAAGAGAAAGTTGAGTTACAGCTTGGTAGTACATGGGGTCAAGAGAAATGCACCTTATGGGCATGCTGCCATATTGCCTAGGCTAAATAGCTAGGTTTGCATATTCAAAAATATTTAATATATATGCTTTCATAAGCTTAAAAACAAGCAAAACATATTAGTGAGATCCAGATAAAGATAAAAGTTATTCACCTGCAGCATTAGCAGGCCTGTAACACCGTACTAGCGCATGAGAATATGAAAGTGAAACTGACAAGTATAGTTTTACTGATTTCTTTACAAGCACGTAAGAGTATTACCTTAATGCTCTCATTGATTCTGGTTACAAGCCAGGAAAACAGTCTACTGTACAAATTCTTAGCCAGAGCATCACGGGCATAATAAGCCTATTCAAGGGAAAAGAGGTAAAAAAAAAAAAAAAAAGTGTTAGAAATACTGGGC